ACTCTAATCTTAAGCGCCAGTCTAAGGAAAATGATTTTGTTACGTTTGATGTAGCTCGAGAAGCATTGTGCCTACGATTACCCAAAAAATAAACTTGAATTAAACTGTAAACATTGCACTTTTCGAATTCCCAAAATATGCAATGGAATGATCAGATTAAAAGATAAATGTATGAGAAAGGCAACATCTTTGTTGCATATTTGTTGCATTCTCTTTGTTGCATATTTATGAAAAGATGCATTCCAAGCAAAAATGCATGTCTACAGTCAAAACAAAGGCATTATCTGAAAGCTAAAAGCATTAGCAGATGACCTTATCTACGAATACCATCTTCCAGGAACATGGGAAAGCACGAACAAAGGATTGGCTTAAAAAGCAAGAAGAAGAAGACCCAGAACGAAGTTCATATCTACGCGCGTGCAGACCGTTGGACCGGTCGAAGCTATACTGAAATCTTACGAACTATACTGAAATTGTGAAAAAGCCATTGATTGGCATCTGCCTTGGTTAATTGAATTATTAATTGTTATTCCCTAAGTTAGTTGAAACTATTCTCAACGGTGCTAGTAATAGCGTAACCATTGATTGGTACCTTCCTGGGATTCTCGCGCTATTATTGGAATTATCATCAATCGTCTGATTACTATAAGAGCCGCTGATCGGCCACTTCCTTGATTTTGTAATTGTAATTGATAACTCGATAATATTCAATAAATTATATTCTAATACTACTGTCGATCCACTACATTCTAACAAAACTTCAACTATAGAAAGGTTAAGGTATTCAGGAAAATATAATGAAAACTGATATAATAATAATAACAAACAAATATAATAATAATAATAATAAAACAAAAAATATGAAACAGTAAAATTATTTACTGTTAATGAGAGTAGCGATAATATTGCGGTATTGATAACGATGAAATTGCGATAATACAATGGTGTTGAAAACACAAGAACTTCTAATTATGACAATAACGGTGAAGGCAGCCGCAATGATAAAAAAAACGACAATCTTAATGACGATAAATTCAATGACAAGCATCGACAACGATTTGCTTATTACAAAAGTTGTGTTTGAATATGTTTATATCTAGAAAATGTAATGGTTGCCTTAAATAAACATTCTGCATAATTTAATACAACCAAACAGCAATCCAATAAACAACATAACAACGATCCACATTTCGCTGATCGCCCAGATCGATCGGCAAACCAACCGCTTGGTGTCCGAATAACAGGTGACAAATTTTAATGCAAACTTACAGTGGTTATATTACGTTCTTCAAAAGAGGAACAGCGATACCAGTTATTCTGACGATTTTAATAACTAGTAAATACAGTACGAGTAAGGTCAGTGACCTTTATGAAGATGCAATACAATATTGGATAATGAAGTATTTCTGATTAGCACAAAGTAATAGCAACACGAATAAAAATAATTAGATCGTTGACAATTATTATATCATTTTGAATGAATCCATACCAGTAGTTCTCATAGGGGATGAAATTACTCATTTTGGTTAATTTGGAGGTATCAAGGGGTAATGGAGGGGATCGGAAAATTAGTATTTCGTGCTCTTGTTATGTTATGATAGAACGCCATTGTGATGGTGTTTTTTAACTGCGGTATGTAAAATTAGTTGATGGCAACACTCTTCATTCTCCTATTTTCTGAGTATTATTAGCTCGTGCAGGCCTAACAGGATTTTCATTCTTTTCCTTGCTGTTCTAACTGCTTTTATAGCTTTCATCACCAAAATTGTTCTGTTCTGTTAATTTCTCATTCGTTTCACTCAACAATTAAAGTCAAATTCTCATTCTATCAAATACACTCTATAATTGATCATTTGACTGTCGAACGTTGCTGAGCAATAATATTCGATTGCTGTATTGTTGATTTCGGCTATCAACATTCGTCAATGTATCCAGTAAATAGTGTATGCTACAGAACAAAAAGTTCATTGGAACTGTGAAGTGAAATGATACGAGGTGAATGAGAAAAACTCATCAAGAGAACGATATTCGCATGTAATAGCTATGAGAGTGAATGCAACACACCTGAATAGAATGAGAATTCACCTATATCAGTTTGAAGTGAACGTGTCATAGACAATAGATTTTCATGCAATCATAATCAGTTGCAATAATAACGGTCCAAGACAAGGCCAAGAGAAATCGAATACCATCATGTGCTAACAAGGTGTGAACGCAACGGTCATCTGAACATAACCATATGCCATTTCCATATTCAATAGTCCTGTTAGGGAGAGCACTTGAGATGATTCGAGGAAATGATGCCTCGTAGAACCGATTTATGAGATATGTTTACGAGAAGACTCACTGTCACTACAAGCCAACTAAACTGTCAACAATAAAGTATCAGACACTTGTATTTCAAATTAGTAGACTTTGTAAGCACGAAATCACCGACTGCTACATCTCCAGTATGCTACATCCCGATTTAAGCAAAATCGCCCAACAACATATATACTTTTCTGAAACTAGAGAATCCGTGAAATTGGATTGCATGGAGAAATTACTTTGTTACATGGCAAACCTGAGAGTACCGCTGGCTTGAGGATGGTAATCCTTACGGTACTATAGTAATATGTAGATCGATCTATAGTGATACAGTGCATATAAACGAACGCCATTGCGCTTGTTGAGATACCTTTAGAAAATTGTGTTATAATATGATAGCGCAGCAGAGCTGGAGAGGCACCCCGTCACGGGCGTGCTTCGACAGATGAAGTCTTCGTGGAAGCCTCTAGATGGAGTCACAAGATTTTATAGCAATGTGCATTTCAGAAAAACTTTCTTTAAAGCGTGTAACGTTGAGACTGTTGAATGAATATAAAGGTGAACCAAAGATTTTGTAACCAACTGAGGTACTGAATTTAAAAATAACCGAGCATATATACACGGATGAAATGGAGAATTCATAAAAATATAGTCATACTTCAATCGTATATTGAAAATCGTGTAGAAAGTTTCAACATCACCATTTAAATACTAATGATTTTTTGTTTGTGTCGATAAAATATTCATAAGGGTGATAGCAATCAGGTAGTTCTACTTGAGATAAAATGAAATGCATTGAAAAGACTGAAATGAGAATGTCGCTGATACATCACTATAGAATCATCACGAGCACCACTTTCAGGCTATCTGTATTCTCAAGTTTACCCAGCACTATGATCCGAATTGAAGAGATTCTCTACCATCTAAAGTTCTAATCGTTGCTCACAGAATTTGCTTATTCGAAGAGCTAAAGCTCAGTTCCTGAGCGTATTTCAACAGCTGAGTGATCCCATCATATCGCTAAAATGTAGGCATCTGATGACCACAAATGCAATACTATAGGAATGCTATTTTCAGGTTACCTTCATCCTTAGGTTATCCCAGCTCCGCGATAGTATCTTATTGTTACCGGATTGAACAAATTCTTTACTGTCAAGATTCTTCATTGTAAGTATGTTGTTGGCAGATTTTGTTGAGTTCCAGGTGTAAAGCTGAATTCCTGAACGTAGATTATATACCTAAGCGTATCGCCAAAATTTGCTCAGTCGATCTTTGTGTTAATAATCTGCGTGAATATACCAGGCGCATGAGCTGTCGGTAATGTCAGCTGAGGAGAAAACAATATTATCACTATTCAAACTGATATGATATGACAGAACAAAATACGATTTGTCGTGTGTCTGTCAGTCAACAATACCACGCGCAATATCATAATGCAGATGTTTGTTAACTAACGTCGTTTGTAGAACTTCAACTTGTTTTTGTAATTTAATTTCCTGAGCTTATTGTCCACTAATGATATTTTACATTTGCCTTGCACCATCTGGAAATCATCTCCACGTCTTATAACCATTGCACTATTGTTGTTGATATTTTTGTTATCATTACTAATATGTGTTGTTCATATTACTTTTCCGCCGGGGACGTTTATTGCGTGGTTTATGCTCATGCAAGTGTTATCTTGAATTGTTATCATTACGGCTGTACTGAACTGATAATAGCTAGTCTTCATTTTACATACACCTTTCACATAAGACTGTCACTCTGATTTCAGTTATTTGATTTGCTATGGCTTATATTTATTACTCAGTGGTATTGATCATTATGGATGCAGTTAGTTGTTATTATCATTCGACGTTTATAAACGCCAATGTTAGTTATAAGAATGTCACTGACGACTTCCATGTAGCGTTAATTTCAGAATATGAAAGATCACTTATTTGCGGTGGTAGTATCCGTTCTACTGTGTATCGCTGCAGTAAAATCAGAAGATTCAAGAGAAAAAGAATCTCGAGACGATGAAATATTCGATTTACCGCCGATCACTTGTGATAGCAAATCTCCATGTTCATGCGATGAGGACGATGGTCGTGTAAATTGTGATGAGGTATGAGATTCACAGGTTGTACAGGCTTGACGTTGCGAGTTAAAGATTAGAGGTTAGAAGTTAGGTGTTCTGTTAGCTGTCAAAGGTGACCATAGTTTTGAGGATAAAATGCCGAGAGTAGTTGAATGGTTTCTTCAGATCATTTGGACGACAGAAGATGAAGATGAACCATTGTATACGCCTTTGCGAAGTCCAAATTTGACGGTCACCAAGAAAGGATTTAAACCAAAAATTGTTTCGTTCCGTCATAACGATATCGCACGTCTCAAGAAAGTTTGTTTTCGTTTGAGCATTGTCGTTCTCATCATCGCCATTACGTTTCAGAAGGATACTGTTTTTGTTCGTTGGAAAGTTTATTTTTACTCAACAATTTTAACAATTAACTCTATTCGACCACAAATCAATAAACCATGCGAAATTCAACGACTTCTACAGTTGATGATGCGACATTAGCATACAATTACGAGTCAACTTGCATATGCGTCACTGCATTTCGACATTTTAACCGACTGAACCATACGAAAATCTTGAAGCGAGGTGGTTGAGGCATGGAGGCATGAGAATTCTTGCCTCAATCGGTTGTTTGGATGGAAAGGCGCATTTGGACGGCTGACTTGAGTTTGCCCTCAAAAATTTCATCCAGCAATGAGCGAATCAAGCTGATTTTTGCACGTATGGCGACGGTTTGAGGGCGAACGAACCGAATGAGTTTCAACATCATTCAACGATTAAAGACAATGAAGAACGAAGTGCACATTTGGAATAAGCGCAGCAAAATGCTGTGGAATAGATAGAAAGAATCTAGAGAATCAGTGTTACACAGTGTTATCAAAGTTTGTGTTAAAGGGTGAAATTCTACCGGGAAGCGAGAAAACGCTCGAGGAGTTGGATTTTTCCTACAATCGAATCTATAAAATGGCCGATTCGCTATTTGAAACGATGATCAAATTGCGCATACTTCGATTTAGTCATAATCACCTGAAACAACTGAATAGGTAGCATTCCAAATTCATGATTGATTTTTCCTTCTAAAATTTGTTTTATTCAACCTAATTTTATCAGCACATTTCGAGCGTTCCATTCAAATTTATCTAGTTGTTCAGAATGAAACGACTCATCAATACAGTCAATCAGTATGGTGGTCAATTTTTTCACCTCGAGGGGCAATTCTTCGCTAAAAAATAGCTGTTTTTCCGTCACTGTTTTGTTCCATGATCAATCATTGTTTGCTTGTCCATTTCTTTCTTTTTTCAGAACTACATTCAACGGTACTCTCTGGAATATGCATCAGCTGTACTTGGACTGGAATTATTTCACCGAACTTCCAGATATTTTCGAAGAATTACCGAATCTGGAAAAACTCGTGCTGGATGGCAATAAGAAGTTGAAACTATCAAAGAAACACCTCAGCTCGCACTTGAACAAATTGAAATTGCTCAGCTTGGATGGGTGCAATTTAAAAAAATTGGATGACGATCTTTTCGATGATTTAACGTTCGTTCTTTTGCTTAACAATTTGTTCATTGTTGCTGAATCAACCAAGCAATCTCTATTACTTTCAGAAGTCTCGAACAACTGTCACTGCGAAATAACCCGTTCACAGAAGTGCCAAAAGCACTGCAAGATGTTCCATCGTTGATATGGCTTGATTTCAGTTCAACGCATATTAGTGAATTGCAGCAGTTCTCATTTGAACATGATAAACATTTGGAGCATCTATTGATGGAGAACCTTACTTACCTGTATATCATTCATGACTGCGCCTTTTGTGGACTTGAAGCACTCCAGGTTCCACGGCAACTCATTTTCCTTCCGTTCATAATTTTCCCACTTTTTCATTCATAATAACACCAGTAATGATAACTAATTACGATAACAATACAGTGATAATATCAATGATGTTAATAATAACAATAATAATAATGATGACAATAATAATAATAATAGTAATAATAATAATGAATATACTAATGCTGATAATAACGACGCCAAAAACAATGATAATGATGATACTAACTGTTTATAAGGATAATACTTAAGGATATTATACTGTCAAATGCCACCGAACTATATTTCATACACGAGAGTGCATTCGGGTGGAATAGAAGCGACTTTAAAATGCCGCAGCTGAAAAGTTTAGACGTTGAATTCGCCAATTTAACGCATTTATCATCGAACCTTCTCGACACGAATAATTTGGTGATGCTTAAATTAGGTGGTAATGAGTGGAATTGTATTTGTGATATGGTTTGGATATTCGACGCAGGCGTTCAGTTAGATCAGGGCTCAAAAATACCTATGTAAGTAATGGTAACTGTAATAATAATGATAATAATAATAATAATAATAACAATAATAATAATAGTAATAATAATAATAATAATAATAATAATAATAAGAAATAATAAATAATAATAATAACAATAACAATAGCAATAACAATAATAATAATAATAATATTACTATCATGATTATTATAAATAATAATGATATTATTATTACAGTACTAGTAGTAGAAGCAGTGATGGTAGTAGTACAATTCAAGTTTTAAAATATTTTATTTTACTATTGTTACCGCTAATATACTTGATATATACTGTTACAATGTAATGATGCACCAAGCATCGCCATCTATATTTCTGCTAAGACGCTACAGCGTCAATCTGACTTCTGATCCCTTTGTTTTTATTTTCATTATTGTTATTTATTATTATTATTATTACTGTTATTATTATTATTGTTACTGTTATTACTGATATACAGATGTGCTCAGCCGAGTGCACTTCAAGGACGTTCATTGGCTTCTTTGAGCGCTCAGGAGTTCTGTCCAGGACGGTTGCGTATCAGTCGACTGATTCTATCGCTATTCGTATTGTTATCGGCATCCTTAATCGCCATACTCTTCTATTACATTGCAACGAATTATCGTATTCGAAATATTTTCTATCGACCTGATATGCCTCATATTGCGTATAGCAATTTGAATCGAACTGAGGAAGAGGAGCACAGACGGAAATCTTTCGCTGATCAAAGCAATGCTGCGAGCACAACACCAACTGCTCAACCAGAAAACGTTTAGAGCACTCATTTTCTACTTTCTTCGACCAATCATCCATTGCTCTGCTAAAATCGCTTTTTCTCTCATTTCAAACGCAACGATATTTTATGGCGGCTCTAAAATATAACTCTAAGAAGAGAACATTGCGATAATTTTAAGAGGTTTATTTTATTCTGTCAAAATCATCCTCTCCACATGCCATTTTCGTCAGTCGGTAGACGACCTTGCTCATGCTGAGAAACACTCATTTATTAAGTAACACACTCATTTAATAACTAAATTACATTATGATTACATTATGATATCATAGCTGGTATGATCATTTTGAGACGGTTGTTCAATCAACATTACCATCATAATAAGTTAATTACCATCATGACTATTATTATTATTTTATTAATAATACTATAAAGATCCATAAATATTTTTATATGATTGAATAAAACCGAAATCAACTAAACGAATTTCCATTGCTATCACTTATTGTTGGAAATAAAAACTTTCATATTGTTCATATCGTGTATTTTTTATCTATTTGATTTCTCTCTTTTGCTTTCTAAAAATATACAATACAGATTGTAAGTAGGTTTAGATGAACTTTCAAAATCTAAACTGTCAAACTGACAAATTATTTCAAAAATAAAAATAAAATGTTACGATTGAACAAAATTTTCATATCATTTAATAAAAGAGTAGAATTTTCGTTTTCTTCTTCTGAATGATCATACTGAATTTTACGAATCGAATCGATCATCGAAACCGATACTTGCTCAACAGTCATCAATCGATGGTGCGTTACAATGACCAATTGATCTGATCGGTTTATGAGAGCATGACCATTCTTGCGCATTGTTATTAGTTGACTGCGAATACAAATTCTGTAAAAAAAACAAATACAAATTCATTTGAAAGAATGAAGTTACACAGAATTTCCAAAATGTCATCGAAATTTTTCGGTGATAATTCTCCTAATGTGTACTGTCGAGAACTGAAACATTTTTATCAGTGTGAAGAGAAGAAGGAACGTTGTCGGGTATCTTGACCACTGCTAACAAATGTGATAAATTCCGTAATAGTAATGTTAATGGCCATGACTAGTATTGATGATGGTAACGATTATGACAGCAAATCAGCAGATAACAGTTAACATTTGCCTTCGAAACTGATTCGTCCATCGCCATCGACATCTGCTTCTAGAAAGATCTGATCGATAAGCTTTTTAGGGAACATCTTGCCGAGCGCTAATTCCGACACAATTCCATTCATCTCATCTCGTTCAATATAACCGTCTTTATCCTACAAAAACGATTGACATTGCTAAGATCATATTGAATGCAACGATTTTTTATTGTTGTTGTTTCAACTATGGGTTTTCTCATTGATAATGAATTATTAAAGAATTGTTTATCACTATTTGCCCTTTCTTTTCAAATTCTCAGTTGAGTATAAATTAAATATAGTACGTAGGATGCGTTTATCTCCAATTTCTTGTGGATAAACTTGGATTAAAGACAAAATAAAGCAAGGGCTTAGCGAATGATATGTGAGTGGATGGAATGACGGACGAATATATGCGGACGGGTGGATATTCTTTAGGAAATCCCATTCATTCACCATCTGAAGCGAGGACGGATAAACGATGAAATCCCTTTGAATCATCCATACAGATGGATTCCAAGCGAAGATGTATATGGCTGAGTGTATTTGTTCATAATACCATCCACTCACATCCACAAATAATGAATGGTGTTAATAAAAATTATTTATTCATTATTCCAATTCCGTTTCGTTTATCCTCAACGAACTCAAAATTCACCAGTAGTGACGGATCAACAGCCGTTCCGATACAAATCTACTACCACAAACAATACAACTGAACAAAAAATGAACATGGAACAAAATTTCACAACAACTAACAATAAAACAAATGAAGTTTTGTTCCAAACTATACGGAAACTAAACGGTCATTAGAAGCAAAAGCTTTTCATTCGATCATCTTCATCACAATCATCATCGCCACGAACAACTGATTAATCAGTTGATTCGTTCATTCAGACATATGAGGTCATAGGTAATAATGATTGAAATGTTCGAAATGCAACGTGCTTCTCGGAGAGAAATCAATGAAAATAAGCAGCAAAAAGCACCTTATCAAAAAGTTGAAATTGCTGATATAACTGTTGCCTGGAGTATTTACCTCGTTGATGTCCCCCCGTATCACCGCCACGCATCATTCGAGTAAATTCATCAAATGTTATCACGCCATTTCCTGACAACGAATAATCGATCGAAACGTTATTTATTAAGATTAAATTTTTGCTTTCGAATTATCATCCACTTTTACATTTCATTTTTCCGAAAAAAAAGTAGAACCTACTGTGGCTTAAAGATATCGGATGTACGAAAATTTTCAATGTTAATCCAAGTCGCAACCGACAGCTATCGTTGAATTAAGCAGCTATTCATTTACCTTATACAATGCACATTTTATTTTGCTCATCTGAGGAGCTCTAGAGCTGAATCGATGGATATTCGTTATACTGACAGCAGTATTACGAATTATGCAAATCCTACATCAAGTAATTCGTTTATTGCTTGAAGCATGAATCAGAATCCATGTGCAAATCCCTCGTTTGATCAAAAAACTATTCATGCCTCAGAAAACGCAAAAGAAAGTTGATGTCTTGACATAAATGCTCCCTTTTTATTCTTATAATGCATCGACTACTAGAGAACTCTTTATGTCTCAGACTTCTGCTACTTCAGGTTTCCACTGTTTCAGGTTTGTGCTATTCCGGGTTTCTGTTGTTTTAGGCTTAGTGGCATCATTTTAAGTAGACTAGGGAAACGAGTGAATACAAACGATCAGAATCAGCTTGTAGCATTAACAATCGAAGTTCGAGTTTATTCGGGTGTTGACCGCATTTGTTCATTGCTGCTTCCAATTCTTCCATTGTTATCCGACCATCGCGATTTGTATCGAAAAAATTAAACGCTCTTTTCAGCTCTATAAAATTTGGATTCAACTCAATATTATTAAATTATCATTACTCATATTGTTATTATTATTGTTATTCTCCTTATTATTATTATTATTATTATTATTATTATTATTAAATATTAAAGTCACTAACTTCTGCATGATAGATTTCAACGTGATCCTTTCTGATCTCAAATATCGAAATCATGCAGTGATACATATGACTGATTAAGCACAACATCAAACAGAACGAGAATTATTACTGAGAATTTTTTGTGACAGTGAATGAACTAACTCACATTGGTAATAATAATGATAATAAGTATTAATAATAAAAGTAAGAATAATAATAATGATAATAATAATAATGACAATGAGGAGAATAGTAACAATGATAGAGGTGTCTGTCAGATACAAGCGAAAAACTTAGCACCATTCAGCACCTACCTTCGTGTTCAGTAGCGCTACTCATCATGAGATAGGTTTTGAAAAATATGTCAATGAAAGGAGTTATCAGTGAGTGAATAGCTGATGTATTTGTTGTTTGTTGCAGTCGTGCAACGAAAACAATATTATAAGTAATAATGCTGAAACTGATATTTTGAATTAAACAATACAAAGCTTCATTCACTTATTCATCTGTTAAGAGTAGTTGCTCTGTCAACCGGCAAATCGATTGGCGGTCAGTCGATCAACCGTATTTCAATGGAACTTTCACTGCTCAGCAGCCTTATCCTATTGAAGCTCACAGCAGTTTGTCTCTGTGGTGCTAAAATACCTGGCGCGGTTCGAATCTTTGTGTTATTTTGAAGTGTTTTTGATTTGGAATTTACAATTGTGATCTTAAGTGTGTGTGTGTGTACGTTTGCTTGAATATGATGGTTATAAATGAAGTGGCTATCGAAAAACCTGGTAATCCTCAATGGGACGAGGGGTGTTTTGACAGTTTAAAAAGTGAGAGATTGTCAGTTACCCGCAACTAGTTGATTTGTTGAGAGATGCCACACACAAACAACGAAAACATTGAGTCTGAGTCAATCAAAAAAGCAATACGCTAGCAGCGATAACATAAGAGGATGATATAAATAAATAACCAAAAGGTGAACGAATAAATGAATGAACGAATAAAACACTGCATGACGATCAATGAATCAGGTGAGTTGCCATTTGAGTGCATGAACAGCCGAAAATTTGTTAATTGATTGATTGATGGTTTGTTGAGAAATGTGATGTATGTAAGCCACGGGCAAGCTTTCAAAAAACCAAACGATATCCAGGAAGCCACAAACTGCCGGCATATCCCATCAGCTGTGCTGATCCAGCGACAAATAGGTGAATCTGGTCCAGAAGAATTCGAAACAAGTTGCTTCGCCTCAGCTTTAGTACTCTCATTCCATCCCATCCCATACCATCCCGCCCCGCCCCGTCTCGCTCTGGTTATTCTCTAATTAAGTTGATATTCTTAATTAAGTGCCACTATTGGATATGGATCATGGCTATTCTTGAGAAATTGATAGTGTTAGTAGCAGGAAAACAAGAAGCAAATGATGCAAAAAGCTTGTAGTTCAGTGTTTAAATTTTTTTCTCTTCAGCGTTGAAAACTATAAGAGCTATTCGATTGCTCTTCATTACATTAGTTGATACAAGTAACCGTTCATCTACTTGTTCATTTATTCCTACGAACAAAAAAGTTTTTGTGATGTAAATGAATAATTCGTTCGGAAAAATTTATGAAGAATGGAAGATTCATGAAATTATTAACAACACAGTGCAATTGCTAATTGCTAAAAGGTAAGAAGTGAAACGTTGAAAATATTGCAAAATTACCGCTGTTTAAAATAAATATCATGAGGTATTGATGAATAACAAACAAAAGTTTTGATCATATAGAAAGAAGATCGACTGGAAGAGAACATGTAGCGATGAATTGATCGGATAGATCGGACAAATCGATGAACACATGGATAAATTTAAATTCGATGGGAAGATGAGGCTTTTTCGGTGAGGAATTCGGTGGTTAAGTGTTAACGATGAATTTTATTTGTCCGAAAGAAGATGAGGATAATGATAAAGTCGAGAATTTGGATTAATTAATAGTCAAGTTGATAAGAAACACTAATGATAATAAGTGTAATGGTAGCGAAAATGATAAGAAAAGTAACGATCCAGTAGCGGTGGCAGCACCAGTAGCATTAGCAACAATTCAAAAACGAAATTAGTTGACAATAAGCAATCATCATCTAATCGTAAGTAAATAAGTAAGCGATTAAGCAAGTATCAGTCAAAAACAAAAATGAGGAAATATCGAACTGGAACACCATCATGCATCATCCATTCATGCAATCATGAATGTCTTAATCAATTAGCATAAATCAAATAAAATTGCACTAGCGCTACCACAATCACCATTACTAACTGATCTACATGAACCAAATCCATTAAACTTTCATTGAATCTTCTCAAATGAGTTCTTCTTTGCCATTTTCGTGTTGCAGTCCTCAAAAACAAACCGACTTACAACTTATTATTACCGCTTTACTCATACTGCCTGAATATATCTGTATGTGTGTCTTCATGAACAAATTCTTACTGCTGCATTCATGACGACGATTATTACTGAACCGTAATTATCAATGCTCAATGCTCAGTTCACTCATTTATTCATTATGCTCCGTCATCTTCAAAAACTAATACCTATTCATCTATCTACCGATCTACTTACCTAAGCAACTATTCATCTAAACATGTTTTCATGTTCCATGTGTCCCTCAACATTCACTGTTCTCCTCATAGATTGTAGTATTTTTATAAAATGTGAAGCCAAAGCAGCCAAGCCCAGCCAATTCAAATCGAAATAATATTTCGCCAAGCCAAACGACTGCTCTAGAACAATTAGTGCTAGCTGTTGTCTACTAGGCCCTGTAGCCTCCTCGTCCTTCTAATTCATGTTCGTCCTCCATAAATGCACAATCTCGTGTATCAAGTCGAACAACCTCTGCTTTATTCATAACTGAACAAGCAATTCGATTAATGAATGGCTGTCTTAATAATTGCAAACAAATACTACAAGCACTGTCAGTAACATACTCACATAGTAAGTTGTTCATCAACAGACATTCACTCCATCAAACAACAATTTCAACACTGAATTCAGTGCCATTAGTTATAGTCTCGTCTCGTATGCATTCATATTGCAGCAAATAGAATTATTTTATCTATGCGGCCTTCAAACAAAACTTATTATGCGTATTAAATATACAAACTCTTACACACGCTATTCAAAAAATAGCTCTGCTAATCGCTAATTCGTTAAAAAAATATTTTTGTCCCGCTAAAACTGATCCGTTAGTAGCGCCACTGACGAGAAAGTAACGAAACTTTTCATTAAAAATGCCTCTCCTTGAAAAAAATAGTGGCATTTTTTGCTAAAAAGTTACTAAACAAATACACGGAAATGTGGACTTAAGTGAGTCACAGAAATGTGAACATTGCACAAGGATTGAATATTTTGATGTTGGGAAAAATAAACATTCCCTTGTAGACGAAGCGTAGCGAGTCAGTGGAAGTCTGAAAAAAATGTAGCGTGTTAAAACGCTAACCAAACAAAATAGCACAAGTCATCACCGTTTTGTGTCGCTGATAAATATATCAACGAGAGTTATCGTTGCAAATTTCCGCTATATTAAAAAGCTAGCGAGCTAGCGATAAACCTAATGATAATACCACCAACGATACTGATAAAAACAGTAATAATATGATTACATGACTGTTAATAATAATGATAATTTTCACGATAGTTGAACAAAAAAATGAAGGAACTCATGTTTACCAGTGCAGATTCCATATTAAACATCTAATGAAGAGGAAGTCTCATTCAATTGGAGTTAGATTTCATGTCATACACACAAGTGGAGATAAATTTCGAAGAGAAAGATCTTCTCCTCATGAAGATCTTCACGAACAGGAAGGCCCAAATCTAATGCCTATCAATAGAGCTGACCACGAATCCGTTTTCGGAATCTACCTGATGTTTTCAGGAGGCGAATAAATGAGCCTAAAATACACTAAGATCACGCTGTACAGTCAAGCTGGCATTGGCCTTTGCTGGTGGATGGTTGCGTGATTAAACGACAATAAGCATGTTTTTTTTTTAAATTGCTACCTTCATCGCATCTAATTGATACTAAAGATTTTGATCTGATTTTGGAAAGTACAAATATGTATTGCTTTTTTTTCAATCGTGAATATCGTCATATCAAACAAATTCGATTCTAATTTTGATCAATTTTCATCTTTGTTTGAATTTTGTTGGTTCGGCCTAATTTAAATTTTCAATTTTCGTGCAGGGTTTTCGTTAGATCTGTGCATGGACGTATTTAATTTTGATGGTGAATTGATCAGAGCAGAAGGTGGTATATGGTTAATGACAGCAGCAAAAAATCATCACAAGAAGTTATTATCATGATAAAATGGAACGACATGAACAGTGGAATTGGCTGGATGAATCGATCATGAACTTATGAGAATGTCTTGAGCGGTAATTGTTCGTTGTGTTCAAAACTGAAATGTTTTGTGCAGCTGCATTTAATAATTGATGTGCTCGCTCACTCACTCAATTATTGCTGCTTTATTATTTCACAAACCATTCTCCTTTTGACGATCTCATTTTGACTTTGTATCATAAGCGACAGTAATTTTGAAATCAAAACGCAACCTCACTTTCATTCTCAATATATATGTACTTATATCTTAAAGATATTTTGATAAATTATGGATGTATCATTTATCATATGCATCTTTAGAAAATTTAACGTCCTGTCATCATCTTTTTAGGTTCATGAACCTTAGAACCTAGGTTTTAGTTTGCTTAGTTCTTTAGATTTTAGGTTGTTTGCTAGGGTTTTGTGCATCTCTACAAACGTAGGTATGTGAGCATACAGTTAAGTAATTATTTCTTTGTTGGTTTATTCTTTCCTTTTATCTTCATAATGGTTTCAATCACATATACATGGTAGCATCTTTTTA